GGGGGAATATACAAGGAAAGGGATTCATGAAATTTTCCCTCTCCTTCCCCCAAACCAAACAGACCTCTCCTCTATGTAACAACTACCACGTATGTAAACTGGTGTTTTCTTCCCTTCTTTATTACCTCCTCTGTGGCTCCGTCCCTCAAAAAAGTTCCACAATGAAATCCACACGATTACTAAGGAAAGTTAAATATTGTGATTAATATTGATGCAAAAGGGATAAAAAAATATGAGCCACAAAAACTTTTCCTTCAAAGGTGAGTGATACATTATTGGCTTATTTTGGGAGAGATTAAAGTGAAAACGTGAAAATTTTTTTGGACAAAGATAGTATGCCATATCAATTAAATGATTAAAAAATTAAAACATAAACTACAGGTTCAAAAATGAATTCCTTAATTTAATTTTTTTTAGAAATTTAGTACTTTGAAATTCAAAATTAATCAATCACAAAGAATTCCAAAATTAATCATAAGAGAATCAAGGGCATGTGGCTTTGAGTTTTACAAATTAACCAATCAAATTAATTATTTGGAATTTAGGAATTCATATTCTTGAAGTTCATACCTTGCAAATCCGTAGTCAGTGCATGCCTTGCTCATTGATCTCAAAGTACAGTATTCGTTGGTCGGAGTTGCAACGGCCGGATATTGGTGTCAGGAGAGAAGGAGCAGCTGAGACGCGGAATTGTTGATGTTGCAAATAGATAAGCTCGTGTGCGAGGGCACGAAGTAGTGTAGCCGCCTCGCCACTGGTTGTCGTCGCCGTTGGTGATCGTCTGGTCGGGAGTCTTGCCGCCGGACGCCACGCACGAAAAGGAAGATATATAGGGAGTGCCCTAATTTGTTCCTCGTATATTCCCCCAATTTTGAAAATAAGGTCGGTTATTTTCAAGTTATTTCTCAAAACATATTCCATTTTCATATGATTTGAATGGTTTAAATTTTATTAAATTAAGTTTTGTTTGATTTAAATTTAATTATATTTAAAAAAATTCTAATTTGGTTTGAACTTAATTAATTTCAATCGGAAAATGTAAAGAGTAATAAAAAAATTATTCAAAACAATTCTAACTTTATTTCGTCTTTACAAATTTTGAGTTAGTAAGACTTTGTCATATAAAAAAAGAAAATTACCAAAATAAGAGTAAAACATAGCTCTTATTCCCAAAACAGGAGTAACATACTTTTTTCCCTAAACTAGAAGTTTGTATTGCGATAGTAGGATATTATATTGTATATTGGCATTTCGATGTGTTTTTAGTATTATATATTGATATTATCAACATTGTAACTCCAATTTTAAAAATAAATATATAGAACTCTTGTTTTTCTATTTTCTGTATATTTTACTCTCCGATTGGTATTTTCCCTTAAAAAAATTATAAAATACAAAAAAAGTAAAACTAAAATAGGAGTAAAACATATAAAAAGAATAAAAATAAGACCTTAATGTTATTATTTTCAAAATAGAACTTATTACGTCAATAATAACGTCAACATAAAATACCAAAAAACACTTTAAAATATCATCATACAGTGGATAGTGATAGTCATACCCCACCAAAATACTAAATTCACCAAGCTATTTTCTAAACTATTTCTAATCTCGTGTTTCACACGATTTCTTATATATATAGTCTAAATTTTTTACTTCATAACATATTCATAAAATTATGTTTTGAATTAAAATAAATGAATTTATTTTGATCTTCTAATAAATACTAATATGAATTTTCTATATATTTTTCAATAATATGATATGATATTTTTAAAATAAAAGTTGTACTTTTAATAATGATGCACATTTATTGATTTTTAAGTAAAACTATGTTTTTGAGATGTAACGCCCGGAAATCCGGTCTATTAACATTAATTAATTTAACTAATTGATTTCTAACACGGACCTAGGGGTGAGAAAATAAAAGTTTTGAGAAAAAATTATTTGATTACGTCATAATATTATATTTGATTGTTTGATCTCAAAAATGCAATCAATACGTTATTCGGAGCCGTTTGAGGGAAAAGCACATCCCGTTCATGTCAAACTTTTAATTACGCAGCAACATACGAAACACCACCTATTTCCCATGTTCCTATTTCGACCCACTCCTCCTCTCCCTTCACATTCATTTCTTTTCAACCCTTTTAATAATATACTCCTCCCCTTCTCGAAGTCTCCTTTTTATCACTATTATCTTCAACTCAACCATCCAACTTCCCACTTCCCTTTGGCACGGTGGAGCAGCGGCGAGCACGAAGAGCAACAACAGTGGCGAGAGCGAGAGGAGGAGAAGAAGGAAGGAGGAGGTCTGTAAGTTGAACGTTCGTTGAGGCATAATCATCGTTCATATCATCTTCGTTCTTCCGACATCACGTTCTAGAAGTGAGTATGTTGCCCCTCTAGCATTAAAATCTGTAGTTGCAGCTATTTACATATGATTGCTTGTTCGTAATATATGTCGTATGTCGTAGTTAGATTGATTACCAATTCCAAAATATATATAACTTTGGCTTGAAATCATCAAGAAACAAATAGAGTCATATGTGTAAAAGAAACCTTAAAAGAAACTTTGTCCCAGTTCGCTGTCAACGTGACAGTCGACCCCCGTCAAGGACGGTGGAGCATACGTGGTGTCCGGGCTACTGCCAACGTCACGGTCGACCACCGACAGGTACGGTGGATCGTTATGATCATTCGTGATTCATTGCCTCGACCGTCCAAACAAGAAGGTACAGATGGACGAAGGGCACGGTCAACCGCCAACCCTCCTCCCTCAACTGTAGGAGCCAAACGATCGACCGCCGTGACAAACGATCGAGCGTCACGATACCAGAATCCACACGAACTCAGTTTTGGGAGTCCTTGACTAGTTTTGACCTTAACATTTTATGAACTCTAGTTCCTTCAGTTTACTACTGAATGTTTACTATCTTGTATGTATGTCCTTGGACTATGACAAAGGTTTGTACGTTTCATTCATATCATCACGCATGACATAAATGCATGACGTATGAAACAATTTGTTTCATTTCATATTGCCTAAGAGGTCAGGCCCATTGTGCATCTTAACGCGGGCCTGTTCTGGAACCTTTTAGTCTGACGGGTACCGTACATGGGTTTAGTGTACGTACATGGTAATCCAGGTTTCCGGATGACGCCCGCAACTATTTAAGTCCCATCATGAGACTAAGGGTATCCGTTTGGTACACGAAATTGATGGAATTGGAATTGAATTGGAATTAAAATTCCATGGGATTCAATTCCATAGAATTGATATCACCAATTCCAATTCATTTTTTGCATTACCAATTCAAAATCTACATAATTTTTGTGCTACCAAACACAAGAATTGGAATTGAAGTCCTCAATTCCAATTCCATAGTTTAAATTTCGTATACCAAACGGGGCCTATGACTTGTCTAAATCATAACTCTTGTGGTGTAATATCGGAATGCAAGGGGTCCTTGCACGGCTAACTCATGCATCATGAAGCTCATATTGTTTATTTATCTAAACCACTATGTGATACACATACGTTAAGTACATGTATGAACATGTGTGTATTTGTATTGTTATACCGTTGTGTATTCCCTTAGCTTGCTAGAGTTACCACTCAACTTATTGTTGAGCGTATAGTTGTTTTCTTTGTTATACGCAAGTAAGAATGATGAACTTGGAACTTATCCTGCAGGTTAACAAGAGTGAGGAGATGTACGAACGGATGGACATGGATTTACTTTTTTCTTAAATTACCTATGACTTTTTAGGCTTGAACATAACCTTGTTGTATTTTCATCATGGACTGTTACTTTTGTTTTAAGCTTCCGCACCGGACGATTTAGTTTACTATGTTATGTTTGCTTGAAATGTTTTTAGTTGGTTTTATTAAAGTTATTATTTAAAGGGGTTTTAAATTAGGTGTTCTAAAATACCACTTTAGTAACTACTCCGACTCGTCGACCGTGCATAATCGGGTCTTACAAGTTGGGGGCGTTACAAGAGAAGTAATAAAAAGAAAAAATGGTGTGTACTAAAAAAAACTTACACAATCTTCCTTTTAAACTTAATAGGAAGACTCCTAATATTATTTAGTTTCCTTATTCTTGTATTACCATAATTACTTTATTCCTTTCCTACTAGGAATAGGACTCTCTCTTGTAATCCCTATATATAGGAACATATCTCTCAATATTCAATAAGACAAATTATTATCAAATTGTATCATGGTATCAGAGCCTAGGTTTAAACCCTAGCCCTTTTTTTCGAGACTGTGCCTCACCGCCGGTCTCCTTCCTCTCGCCGGTCGACCATAAACGGCGACCATGGCTCAATCTTCAGATCCGCTTGCTTCGCTTCCTTCTGGCGTCAAGCTTCTTCTC